GAGGACAATTAAGAAAAAATCTTCAAAATGACAGCAAAGGGCCTTTGGAACACTACCTATAAAGCAAACAACAGCTAACATATAAGTAGAGATAACTTGAAATACTAGGAAGAAATTGGACTTAGAGTCAGAAACTTGGACCCAAGTTCTGACTCTTACCATTAACTAGCTATATGACTGTAGGAGAAAATTACTTAAGTTCTCTGAGACTCAGTTTACCCATATTCAAAAGGGTATAATACTTCTTATATTACCGCAGCTCACAAAAATATCAAATGCTTTATCTGGGTTATAATTATTGGCATTACAAACTGGCTACATCATGAGATGCATGCGTTTTTTTTGTTTTGTGAGATACCACTTGTCCAAGGTGTACAGAAACCTCTTTAATAATGAGCCATTAGCAAGGGTTTGACTCAACTGATTGAAAAAAAAAAGCTGCTCAGCAGTGGGTTGTTCCTTTCTTCTTGCTTATCTGCCCAAGCACCATTCTGATACGTGCAATTGGCTTAGCAAAAACTAGAAGCAAAAAGCTAGACCTGGCCCTTTAATAGTTGCAGAAAACTTCACCAAATTCTTGATACTATTTTCAGCCCTAAATTTTTTGACTTAAGATTTTCAACTTCCTCACACAAATTCATGACAACAGAAGAATCTTTGAACTGTCTTGCTTTCCTTTTAGTCGGAAGATGAGATTAAGAGAAGAAACTAGAATTGACAGCCCCATTAAAACATGACAGAAAGTTTTTAACAGTCTTCCCTCTTATCTGACAGCTCAGATCATTTCTCATTTCAACTGGGCCCATAAAAAACTTTTTTTAAACTCCAAAGTCAGACTCTTCTATCCTTAAAACTAGACCTATTTTCCAGACTTTAAATAATTGGAATTCTCCCAATACCTTCTTGTTCATTCTGAGAACATTGTATATTTTGTCTCTATTATGGACCACTTTAAATTTAGTTTGGTAGTGACCATTCCTGTTTTCATTGTTGTTATTCAGTCATTTTTCAATCATGTCTGATTCTTTATGACCCCATTTGGGGTTTTCTTGGCAAAGAAAGTGGTTTGCCATTTCTTTCTCTGGCTCATTTTACAAATCAGGAAATTGAGACAAATAGGGTTAAGACAGCTAGTAAGTGTCTGAGGACAGTTTTAAACTCAGGAAAGATGAGTCTTCCTGATTCCAGGCCTGCACTCTATCCACTGAGCCTCTTAGCTGCCCAAGTCATATCAATCAAAGAGAGGAGAACAATTATTTTCTGATTAACAGGAATGAGTGTAAATGTCTAAGACGGGGTTGGGGAACCTGTGGCCTGGAGGCCACATGTGACCCTCTAGGTCCTTAAGTGTGACCCTTTGACTGAATCCAAACCTCAAAGAACAAATCCCTTTAATAAAAAGATTTTTTTCTGTAAAACCTGGACTCAATCAAAAGGCCACACCCAAGGACCTAGAAGGCCACATGTGGCCTAGAGGCTGCAGATTCGCCACCCTAGAAAATAAACAAAAATGTGATTCCCTGTAATACAAGCTAGAATATTCTGAGAACGGTGTTCAATTTGAAGCCAAAAATATATAGTTTTTAATAACCTGTGGGCTAAATAAATACATGGTTTAGAGTATCTTGCTTTTCACTGGATTTTTAAAAAGCCAGCTTGCAAAAGACAATCTTAAATAAAAAATGTCTTAAAAGTTTTTTACTCTATAGTAGAGCTATCTCGCATGTTTCTTTTTTTTTGATAGCATCATACTCTATCTTTTTTTTTTTGGTCAAACTCAATGATATATTTTTTCCTTCTAAAGAAAAGTCAGTATGCTCTTAAGTTTTAGTTACTTGCATATTTCTAGCTCTGGAGATACATCCCATATAAAAAGGTCTATCAGAAAAGTATATTCATGGGCAGCTAGGTGGTGCAGTGGATAGAGCACCAGCCCTGAAGTCAGGAGGACCTGAGTTCAAATCCAGCCTCAGACCAAACATTTGACACTTTCTAGCTGTGTGACCCTGGGCAAGTCACTTAACCTCAATTGCCTTAAAAAAAAAAGTATATTCATAATCATGCTATTATCCTTCATAATGGCTAGGGTTTTCCTCAAAAAAACACAGAAAAAAGCAGGAATGACCTAAGCAGGCTGATCATATAACTCTGAAAATGCTACATTCTTCATAGAGAGCTTTTTTTTTTACCATTTAAAAAAAAATTTAATTATTTTATTTATTTTATTTATTTTTTTTTTTGGCAATTGGGGTTAAGTGACTTGCCCAGGGCCACAGAGCTAGTGCCAAGTGTTTGGTCTGAGGCCAGATATGAACTCAGATTCTCCTGACTTCAGGACCAGTGCTCAATCCACTGCACTACCTAGCTGCCCCCTTTTACCAGTTGTTAAATACCCAGCTACTCAATTAATGAGGGAAAGCAGACATATTACTAAATGTAATTTTAAAATAACATCCACCCAAATAGGAAACTATGTCTAAAAGTACAACTGACTGACCACTGAAAGGTCATCTTTCAAAAGAAATACCAACTTTTGATTATTTACAAGTTGATTACTGATTTAATGAATTAACCAAGTCCTCTTTTTTTTTTCCAACTTGCTGCTAACCGACTTTTAATCATTTTTTCTACTGATTAAAAGCTTAACTTGTGAGTCCTTAAAAATAAGGGCAATCATTAGCTGATCTGATAACCTATTTGAGGAGGTAAAGGATAAAACTGTTGGTGGGTATTGGATTTCAGGATACTCTGTATTGATTCTTTTATCCATAAAAGCCAATGTGGAATAGTGCACAGAATACGAAGTCGAGTGTCCAGAGCGACGAGGCAGAAGAGTGTTTGAGGCAGATGGCGCAAGCAGGACAAAAGCTAGGAGATAAAATGCAGGATGTGACCAGCCAGAAAAGCGATCTTCTCTGTGTGCTTTCACAATGCACCCTCAATTCCAGAACAATTCTTCCCCTCCCTTTTCCTGTTCTCTTTGTTTATCAGCTCTGGACTACCTGATATCCCAGGCATTTTGGAGCCACGCTTGCTCTCCCCATTCTCTTGTCCTCTTCCCCCTGTTCCATAAAATTGTATTTAAACCATACTTTTGACCTAGCTAACCACCTTTGCCTCCTATGGGAAACAGGAGCCACTCTTCTCCCTTAAGGGAGAAGTGCCTACAGCCTATGCTCTGCCTCCCATGTAGAGTAGGGCTCACTGGGGCTCTGCCTCCCAGGGAGCAGGCCCACTTGGCTACCTCACCCCAATAAATGCTCTTTTTTTAACTTTTGAGACTATCCAAGTGAATTCTTTCAGGACACTAGGACCCGCAAGGCTATTTCTCATCATTTAAGGTAGTACCCCAACATTCTTAGGGTCCAACATGAACTAATCACCAATGGCCACAGAGAAGGTCCAAGTGAATTCTTTCAGGACACTAGGACCCGCAAGGCTATTTCTCATCATTTAAGGTAGTACTCCAACATTCTTAGGGTCCCACGTGAACTAATCACCAACGGCCACAGAGAAGGTCCAAGTGAATTCTTTCAGGACACTAGGACCCGCAAGGCTATTTCTCATCATTTAAGGTAGTACTCCAACATTCTTAGGGTCCAACGTGAACTAATCACCAATGGCCACAGAGAAGGTCTAAGTGAATTCTTTCACATCTGAACCAGCTCTCCCAACTCAAACCTCAACACAGAAGACGTGCGTCCAAATGCCATCTTTGACACTGACCAGTGAAATCGGTCAAGTCATAACCTCTGTGTCTTAGCAATGTCTTAGGATTTACCAATGATGTCATACAGGGAGCTTCCAGCAGAGGAATTCCCCCACACTGATGAAGTCACATATCGTTTACTCTATGTTGAAAGATAAGAAAGATAATTTTGCACATTCTATATAGTCTTAGGAAATGAGATTTTTGAAGGACAGCAATGAGAAACATTGCCACAGGCTATGCTACTATAGTAAAATGCTGGCAGGCATGAAAAACTTTGGTTTCCAGGCATATCAAAATTTAAAGTTTGAAAACTGTTTTTGCAGGCATTCTAACAATGGGAGGGAAGAGAGACTTCATAACAAAACATCGAGTTAGAATGAAGGCAGGTCATAGGAACTCAATATTATCAGAGTTGAAGGAGGTTTTCCAAAACCAAATGCAACCTAATCTTTTTTCTTTTCTTATCTCTGGTTAAAAAAAAATGAGGATGGTTCAGTTTCCAACATTTTCTCTCCTTACTCACCTCCACCTCCTGGATTTCCTGGCTTTCTTCTAGACTCAGTTCAAATCCCACCTTCTTCAAGAGGCTTTTCGTGGACTCCTACCCACTCCCCCACTACTCCCCTCCCCCCAATACTAGCACCATCCCTCTGAGATTACCTCCCACTGTGTGTATGGAGAGAGACAGACAGACAGACAGAAAGAGACAGAGGAGAAAGAGAGAGAGAGAGAAAATATATATAGCTGTTTGCACACTGTCTCCCCCATTAGAATGCGATTCCTTAGAATTAGGAACTAAGGATTTTTTTTTCTTTCTTTGTATGCTCAGTGCTTAGCACAGTTACTGGTACATAATAAATGCTTAATAACCACCTGCTGACTGACTGACTGACTGACTGACTGATATCCTTATGTACTTTCTCCAGATGGGCAAAACCAGCTGGTAATTCTTTGTGTTTTGTTTTTCTATTTCAGTACTGAGAGAATTTGGGCTCACCTCATTATAAAAGCAAAGCAAACTTGAGGCCATATCATGCTCCAGCTCATATAAGGCAGGATTCCAAGTCAAGAGGATAATGTTTGGGGACTGAGTCTTGAGAGTACACGACTACAGGGAAAAATGTAATGAAGATATTGTACATCTACTGACTACTAATATTACATAGACCAAAATTGCAAATAGGAAATAAAACAATTCTTATATATAGAGTAAGTCTGCAGAACTCAAGATGTGGATTTTATTTTTGTTCTGTTAAAAAGAAGAAAAATCAGGATGGAAAGGCTGTACCTTGCAGATTTTATAAAGGGATTCTTGACCATCTCCTCCAGTGTCTTTGAAGTGATCATGTGCAGGAAATGTTCGATGAATGTCTCGTGTTATAACACTCTCCTGGGCTGAATCCTAAAAAAAAGTAAAAAAAAAAAAAAGACCACAAACATGAAATTGCCATAAACATGCAAATATCCTTATGACAGCCCAGTTTTCATATCAGGTTAATAATCCAGTCATTTCAACCCTCCAAAAAATTAGGCACACAAGCTCCTACAGAAGATCACATCTGTCTAAGAGAAACAAAGTGGTATTTTTCCAGAAAGACAGGCTCCAGAATCTCCAATATGGGTGCCATTCAAAGCCCACTAGGAAACAATTACTCATTCAATTGCTGTTCTGTTATTTGTGGAAATGTTGGTTATTGTATCTGTTTGAATGTCAAGAAAATAGGCTTTGACTTCTTCTAGCAACCCTAGTGGGTGCATTTATTCCACACACTTCCATCCAGTAACAAAAGAGTGCTAATTGCAAATTAAAAGCATTGTTTAATGTCTTCTATCTGTAAACATTTGACTATATCCCTTTCCCAGACTTGAATAAAAGAAAAGGGAGTTTTGATGATGTGAGTTTCTTTAATGAATTTTAATTCTTATTCTTTCTTGCCCAGAAAATCAAGAAAAGATGGGGATAGCTGATCATCTATGAGGTAAGCCACTGTCTTCTCTTCTTATCTCTTTTCAACTCAGCTCCTACTTCATGCTGGGTGGTAATTAGACCTTATATCGTCTAGTGGAAAAAAGCAAACGGACTGCAAAGCTCTATATTTGTCAGCAAGCACCCAAAACACTGCAAATAAGTTTTAAGGAAATTCTGCTGGTTTAAGGAGTAGAGAGGAGACAAAATAACCCTTCTGACTAGCAATTGCTTCAGCGTATGCAATGAGACATAGAGTGAGTTTCTCCTTGCAAAAGAAAAAGAAAGAGTCCACTCAGGGCAATAAAAATGACTTTAGAGGAGAGTCTTTGAAGTAATTTTTACTTTAAAAGAACAGTGGTTAAGTATTCCAAGTATGGGAAATGAGTCTTCAGAAAGACAGGATCATGTTTGTATTGCCCTGGCTTTTCCTAGTAGAAGAAAGGAGAGATCATCTTTTACAATAACAGCCTTCATTTAAGTATGGCCTGAAAAGCTGATGGAAGAAGACATTATTCACCCAAGGTGGCACTATATTAGGAGTCAGTGGCCTGAAGGGTGGCAGTTTTATCAGGAAATGGCCTAGTAGAGCCTAGAAACTTTGCCTGGGGAGCATGGCACCATGGAAATTTACTTAGCCTCCTTAGACCGTAGAAACAAAAATATAAAAACCGTAGGAACGTAGAGTAGAAACGCACCTTACAGACGACCAACTCTAACTACTCTTGACTAAATTTCCCCTTTTAGGTTTATTTTTTTAAGACTCCCTCTATTTGGACATTTATATATTGTTCCCACATCCTCAGGTGCTCCGGGGAAAAAATCCCTAGAACTTCACTGAATTGAGAACAAGCACAATTTAAACTGCTTTTTTTCTATACCCTTTTCTATTTCCATTTTGCAAACTGAATAAGCACTTTAGCTATACTGCTTAGATATATCTTTAATGAGAATGAAGGTGAAACAGTACAACACACTCCTAGAATATTAATAGCAATAACATTTATGTAGAGCTTTAAGATTTGAAAAGTACTTTACAAATATCTAATTTTAACTTCACAAAAACCCTGGGAGGTAGGTATTTATTATACCCATTTTACAGATGAAGAAATCGAGGCACAAAGTACTGAAGTGACTTGCCCAGGGTCACACAAGCTAGTAAGTATCTAAGGGCAGGTTTGAACTCAGGTCTTCCTGATTCCAAGTCTGTTGTTCTATCTACTACAATACCTAACGGCTTCTAAAAGGCTAAAAGTCCTAGAAGTGGACTAACACTGGAATTCAAGATGGATTTGGAGTCAGAGGACCTGGTTTTGAATCCAGTTGTCTTCTACCTATATGACATTGGGCAAGTTATTCTGCTTTGTCAGACCTAAAATTCCTTATCTGTAAAATGACATCAAATGACATTTAAAAAAAAAAATTCCTCTGTGCCGTCCATAAGAAGCAGAGAGAAGAAACAGTCACTTAAGATTTCAGAATGTGACTCCTCCATGGGAGGCCACATCACTGGGGTCCAGTGACCTTCAAAAACACTAAGAGTGACAATCCTTCAGGATGAACGTACCTCCCTCCACTACCACTCTGAATATCAGAGGCTTAGTTCTCTTTTTTATCATGTATAGACGAATCTTGATAGGATCTGTGAACTACCTGCTCCAATAAGATAATGTCTGTAAAGAGCTTTGAAAACCTTAAAGTACTAAAGAAACACCACCTATTTAAAAAAATTTTTTTCTTCTCAGTAGCTTCTATACCTTTTCTGTGGAAACTCCCTAGAGCTAAAGCACTAATGATAACAAGAATAAATCAAATGACTAACAGTAATCCTAAACTTTAAAGATTTTACATGTCTTAAAATTTCCAAATTTTTTTCTAAGATACTCTCTTCCCTGCCCCCCAAACATGGAAAGATACACTCCATATAAAAAAGTAGCATGTGGATTTTATATTTCTTTCTTTCTTTTTTCCAGTGGGAGGGGAAAGGTAGGAGGGAAATAAAAGCAATACATCCTTGATAATTGAAGAAAATTATTAAAAAAAAAATTAGCATGTATACACATATGAAAAAAATTCAAGATGATTAATAATAGAAGGCACAGGGCCAAAGTAGGACCACATTTGTCAAAGGTCATGTTGCTGTTCTGACTTCTGTTTTCAGAAATTGAGGGGTGTGGTGTGATGCTGGGAAAAAAAAGGGGAGACACCACTACGGGCACCATCAGTTTGTGAAAGCAGGGCACCCCTTGCTACTACCATCCATGTGGGTCACATGGAAATAAGCAAGGTCACAGAAGCTCTGCTCCGTTTCCCAGGACCTTTCTGGGACAAAAATTACATAAGGGTTGAATTCTGCTTATTCTTGAGAATAAAGAATCCACATATCATTATCAGAGAATTTTAATTCATTTTATAAAGACTTTACTTTTTTATTCCCAAATTTTTGAAGCACAAGACTAAATTATTCTTTAAAAAAAGGCATCAGTCTGAAGAGTGATAAAAATCTATGTCCCATCAGAAAAGGGAACTGAGATTACAGTGGAAATCCATTAAATATCATTTTATACAATGTATGACAAACATCTCGATTAACTTTTGATCATTTTAGAAGCGGGTTCCATCTCTAGTAGCTGTACTGCAAGCATTATACTAGCTATCCTTCAAGAACTTTTACCACTGACATTCTTATAATAATTCATGTTCTTCTGCAGTTTTTTATGACCCTTGGAGAGAATCATCAGCTACTCGTTTGTTATGATGGGAAAAAAGGAAAGCACAGAAGCATCAGCATGGATTACAAAGAAAAGTTTGGATGGTTTCAACCTATTGTCTTTGATATGGTTGGTTCTATATTGTTAACAAAGTGGCAAAGTGCTCAATTGGGGGTGACTTTTCCCCATGTAAGCTAGTGAATGAATGTAGCATAAAAACAATGGGCAGCTAGGTGGTACACTATATCCACTGAATACCAGGCCTGGAGTCAGGAAGACTCAACTTCCTGAGTTCAAATCTAGCCTCAAACACTTACTAGCTGTGTGACCGTGGGCAAGTCACTTAACTATGTTTGCCTCAGTTTCCTCATCTGCAAAATGAGCTGGAGAAGGAAATGGGCAAACCACTCCAGTATCTTTGCCAAGAAAACCTCAAATGGCATCACAGAGTCAGACACGACTGAAATGATTCAACAACAACAAATAAAAGAAATATCCCAAAGAATAACCAAAAGAACATAGGATCACAAATACGAAGCCCGACGGAAATTCAGAGTCATCAAGTAAATTTCCTCATTTTACAGAACAGGAAAACAAAGACCAGAAAAGTTACAGAACTTATCCAAAGACATACAGGTAGTAAGCATTGGTCAGGATTTGAGCCGAGGTCCTCTGAATCCAGAGCCAGTACCCTTCCCACCATGCAATACTTTCTCTTCTCTAATAATTTAACTGTTCTTTTCTTTGTCCTATTTTCAAAGTACAATACTGCTTTCCTCACCCAAGTGCCTGGACAAAAGTATTAGCTGCAATGTGCACCTATATTAGACATAAAAGCACTGGATAGAAAGAAAAGAACTGAGTTGAAGTCCTAAACGTACTTTCTGACCTTAGGAAAGTCAAATGACCCATCAGGGCCTCTTTCTTTATCTTTTTTTTTTATTAATTTTATTTTGATTTATCAATAATCACTTTCATATGCTTTAGAGTTTAAAACTGTTCTTCCCCTTCCTCCCCACCACCCTCCCCAAGACGGCAAACAATCTGATATACTCTATACATTTACATTCCTATTAAACATATTTTCGCATTAGTGGTGTTGTAAGTAAAAATTAAAACCAATAGGAGGAACCATTAGAAAGAGGAAACAAAACTCAACAAAAGAGAAAAAAATAGCAATTCAACCTTTATAGTTCTTTTTTTGTATGTGGATAGCATTTTCCATCATGAAGCCTCTGGAGATGTCTTAGATCCTTATATTGCTGGGAAGGGTTAAGTTTATCAATATTAGTCATCATACAACGTGGCTGTTATTGTGTACAAAGTTCACTTGGTTCTGCTCATTTCACTCAGCATCAGACCATACAAGTCTTTCCAGGTTTTTCTGAACTCAACCGGGTTCATCATTTCTTATAGCACAATAGTATTCTATTACATTCATATACCACAACTTGCTCAGCCATTCCCCAATTGATGGGCATCCTCTCAATTTCCAATTCTTTGCCACCACAAAAAGAGCTGCTATGAATATTTTTGTACATGTGGGTCCTTTTCCCATCTGTATGATCTCTTTGGGATATAGCCCTAGAAGTGCTATTGCTGGATCAAAGGGTATGCACATTTTTATAGCCCTTTGGGCATAGTTCCAAATTGTTCTCCAAAATGTTTGAATCATTTCACAACTCCACCAAGAATGCATTAGTGTTCCAATTTTCCTGCATCTTC